TAACCAATCATGATGACAGTCTATTATTTCTCAACTATTATTAATTGTATAACATTAACATTGATAATTGTATAAAGATTGATGATGAGTGAACCAACATGTGAACATCTGCTGTTCAGGTCTCGTCCTAAGTTCTCTCCAGTTCTCGAAGAGTCTCAGCCGCTGGAAATATTTAAGGACATAAAAAAGACCGCGACGCGCGACGGCGACGGCAACGTGTAAGTGCCAAAACAAAAGTTCTATTCGGCAGAACAATGGCTGGGCTCTTGCATGTGTTTTAATACTTCGTAAATTTGTTAACCGTCCTCTGCGCAGAAACAACAACGTGAAATCACCAAAATTTGCAAATTATGTAAGTTTCCATTTGGAACTCAACACTGCTCACGTCATGCTGATGTAGAGCAGGGTGTGGCCCCGTAGGAGGTCCTTGCCATTATCTCCTCATCGATGTTCGTATTCAGTAAAGCTTGGAGAACTCGTGACCTTCATGTGTATTTTTCTGTATATTTTACTTTTATTTCCCTCCACTCCAGTATGTAAATATAAATAGAATAGTTAGTTTATAGTTCATAAGTTTTATTGTATTGCTGGTAGTGCCCGTGGGCAATATGAAGTGAATTCTCTGTTCTGATTGGCTACCTAAGCAGGCGAAATGGGCCCATCTTTTCCGCTGGATTTTGGCTGTGTTTATGCGGCAGAGGGGAAAATCGAAAATCCCTCAGGTATTGCATCGTGCATCCTGAGCTGCACATAAAAATCACGTAATCAGGGCCGGGTGGGTAGGGCTAAGGTAACCCAGGGTTAGTATGAAATTTGATTCCAGATCTGAAAGCTTTTAAAGAAATTCAGTTTAATGCCATTTTTTAGAATTTGATGATTAGGAGGCTGTCTCTCTTATTTCCATCCGGTCAACTTCGCGTCAACAATAATTTTTCCTGAAACTCTGTCAACTGAAAGACTTTGTTCAGGAAAGAACTAAATGAGATTTGGTTTGATTCGAAATAATTTTCTGACTGCATTAGGGGCCATAATTATTTCCCCAGTCCGTAGGGACCGTCGCACGGGCATATTTTGTAACATTGTAAAATATTTGATCGCATAGTTAAGCCACGAAATTTATATCAGATTGCTTAATAACCTTCTAGTTTTCCGAGAAGTTACAATTTCCCTCTCAATATATTTGAAAAGGCGAATTTTGACATATTCTGATCTCTATAAATCGCCATGGGCCGATGGCGGTAAATAGTCTTGATTTAGACGTTAAGTTTTGGGATTTGGGACTTGATTGACAACTCTTTCCTACACAGCCGTTAAGTTTAGACCTTTATAGGAAAAACATGCAAAAACATCTGCACATTTTCGACTTTTCAAAAGTTACGAGCGTTTGAATCAGCACATGTACGAGCATTTGCGATTTTTCCGCCTACACCGAAATCGAACCCTGGAGCAGATCTCGTCATAAATACAGTTTACCTTCGACGCATCTTGGGTTTACGTGAAATTTTAAAATTCGTTGCTCCATAAACCGGTGAACGTAATAATAACTCCTGCAAAACAGCTCCAAACTTAAGCGGTCGACATCTATCGACACTCTTTTCTAACTCGTTGTTGCGAACTAAACTCGAAACTAACTAGCTCCGACGAAGGGCTAACGCTCGAAACGTCAACTTTTGTAATCGTTACGGTGGCCAATTACCATTTCAACTTTGTTGATATATCCAAATTATTTCGAAACTAAAGCCACGTTTCGTTTCGCGCTTAATGTCCTGTTGAAAATTTGGATGGCAGCTGCATTTTCTTCAAGAATTAGTCATTGAACTCTACAAGTCTATGTGTCGAAGTTTGAGGGCTACAATGCGGAATTTGCAGCTGAACGATCGCACTACCGCGCACGGCACTGATGCTGCTTTCACAGAGATCCGCATTAACTATTGCGATGCTTGTTCATGTGCTGATTCAAACGCTCATAACTTTTGAAAAGTCGAAAACGTACAGAGTTTTTTGAATATGTTTTCCTATAAAGGTCTAACCTTAACAGCTGTGTAGGATAGAGTTGTCAATTAGGTCCCAAATCCCAAAACTTAACGTCTAAATTGAGGTTATTTCCGGCCATTGGCTGATGGCGATTTATAGGAATCAAAATATGTCAAAATTCGCCTTTTCAAATATATAGAGAGGGAAATTCTAACTTTTTTGGCAAACTAGAAAGATTGTTAAGCAATCTAATATAAAATTCGTGGCTTAACTATGCGAATCAAATATTTTACAATGTTACAAAATACGCCTATTTTTCAATAGGCAATTTCCAAATTACTTTTGGCCCCTTTTTTAAAACGAGGCTTGGTGCTCAACCATTCTTGTGAAAATGAGTTTAATTTGGATTTGAATAAAAACTTATTATCATATGAAAGGATGGGCACCAGGACTCGTTTTGAAAATGAGGCCAAGGGTAATTTGGAAATGGGCAATTTTCGAGACGTTTCGACGATCCCTATGGACTGGGGAAATAATTATGGCCCCTAATGTAGTCAGAAAACTATTTCGAATCGAAGTAGATCTAATTTAGTTCTTTCTTAGGTAGTCTTTCAGTTGACAGAGTTTCGGGAAAAATTACATATTAAGAAAAGAGAAGCAGGCTCTGGCGTCCTAACCAGTCCATTTTGTTTCCCTTACTTATAGTTTCATTGTGCAATGAAAACAGAACAGCTTTACAGGCCTGTTAAGTTACCGGGTGTACCGTTACACTTATGTCCTCTTGTTGTAGATATGTCCTCTGACGTAATGTGATACAATGGCCAATCACATCCTGTGATCTATAGAGCGACACGTGGCTTGGGACTGGTTAAGAGACTCCGTTGCAGTTATGTCTTCAAGCAAAAGTGCTCATTCAAGGGGGTCGGGATAAGTAGAAAATTTGACACGTATGAGCAACTTCCAACTGATCTCAGGAAGACATG